AAGGGTCTTTTATGTAGAATATCTGCTCGACCTGTTTCGCAAGTACAAATGGTTCATCGGCGTATCCCACCTTAGATAGATCTACTAAAGTGAAACCTTCCTTGTCGGCTTTGACACCAGTGCGTAGATTCACCCAACGGCAGCGAAACAAAGGAACCTTGAACTTGACGTAGTTTAGCTCCCAGATCTCCTCAATGCGGCCGTAGTATGTGTTTGACCCAACTTGATCCTGGAATGCATCTATACGGACGCCGTTGTTTTGCACTGTGCTTTTGTCATCCTGTTTGACGGTGTAAAATGTGTATCCATTTATATCGTATCCATGCCATGTGTCTACGATCCAAGACGGTCCCATCCCCAACAACTGTACTATCTCATTTGGGACATCCGTGGACATTGTCACACGATTCTTGAACCATTCGTTGAACCGAGAATTATGTTCTCTGTTAATCCATGCATCAGATCGCCCCAAATTCTCATCTCGGATTTTCGCTAAGTACTCCTCAAAGTATGGGCCAACTTCTGCCATATGTTGGAGCACAGCGTAATGAGCCTGCGTGTACGACGCTTGATCAGGCCTAATTCTTTTCCTTCCGATTGTGCCAACACCTGACAACCTTCCCTCGTGACGAGATGTGGGAACACCGATAGGATTGGCATCGGACATGTAATTGACACAGAACTCAATAGCCTCCTCGGTCGTGTAACCTTCAATGATGCTCCCCTCGGGTTTAGCTCTGTTACGAACGTACGACTTCAGAACTCCCATGTACCTTTCAAACGGCCACATTTCCCTTAGAAAAGCCGGGCCACATAGTTTTGTTTGCTTCACCAGATGAATAGGGAGATGAACCATTATATCAAAGAAAGACAGTGGGAAAAACATCTCCAGGTGACAGAGGGTATTCACAATATCGGTCTGCAGCCCATCTAGATCTTCTGGATCTATAACCTTCTGTCCAATTGCATTGAAGAAGGCGCACAGACGTTGGATCGTGTGACGCACTTTCGGTTATAGAATGCCTTTGATAGCAATTGGCAAGATTTGTGTGATTAGCACGTGGCAATCGTGAGACTTCATTCCAACAAGTTTTAGATCGTCCAATTTAACATACTTACTTATCCTCGCTGAATAGCCCGATGGAACTTTAATATCCTTCAAGCATGATAACATTGCGATCTTCTCATCCTTCGACAGTGTGTGGCAGGCTGGAGGGAGGTACACTTTACCTGTCTCTGCATCTCGTATGGACTGAAGTTCACTATGAATATTCATGTCCTGTAGATCAAGGCGTGCGTTCAACCCGTCCTTTGTCTTCCCGGAAATATTCAACATCAGGCCAACCAAATTCTCACACACATTCTTTTCTACATGCATGAGATCAATGCAATAACGGACATCAAGATCTTTCCAGTAAGGTAGTCGCCAAAATATGGATTTTTTCTTCCACATACCCTTCTCCTTTGTCTTGCTACGTTTTCTTTTCTTCCCAAACTCATTGCTTATGTCCTTGACCATATTGTGGACCTCATCTCCGGACAAATCTTTGGGAGCAGGCTGAAGTTCTCTCTTACCGTTAAAAATTTTCTTCTTTCTTCTAAATGCGTGACGTAGCGGGAGCCACCTCCGGTGACCCATGTATACCATCTTTCGTGATTTTTTCAGCCACCGGCTTCGTGTATGTTCCTTGCAATCGGAGCATGCCTTCTTTCCTTTTATAGTTTGTCTGGAAAGATTACCGAGTGCAGGGTAGTCATTAATGGTGCAGAACAATAGAACTCTTAGCTTGAAGTTCTCCTGACCATATGCATCCTAAGTTTCCACACCTTCTTTCCAAAGAATCTCCAGATCATCGATAACAGGCTCCAGGAATACATCGATATCATTGCCGGGTTGCCTTGGACCTTGGATTAACAAGCACAACATAATATATTTTTGTTTAAAGCATAACCATGGTGGGAGGTTATAGTTCGCAATAAGAACTGGCCAAGTGCTGTGAGTACTACTCATGTCACCGAAAGGATTCATGCCATCCGTGCATAGACATATCCTCATGTTTCTAGGGTCGGCAGCAAAGTCTTTGTGTTTTCGATTGATATTCCTTCATTCAATCGAATCCGCTGGGTGTCTAAGCATACCGTCTTTCCTTCTCTCCGTGGCGTGCCAACGTACTAACTTCGCTTCGTTCGGGTTGGCAAAGATTCTCTTGAAACGATCAATGATAGGTAGATACCACACAACCTTTGCCGGACCACCCCTCTTTGACTTATTTCCTTCGTCAGCACTTTTCTTTCGCTTGTATCGAGAAGCCTTGCAGACAGGACAAGCATCCAAGTCCGCATATTGCTTGTGGTACAATATGCAGTCGTTGGGACAAGCGTGAATTCTATGGACCTCTAACCCCAGTGGACACAGAACCTGCTTTGCTTCGTATGTCGTCTCGGGCAATGTGTTCTCAACAGGAAGCATAGCCTTCAAAATTCCTAAATGATCTGTGAAACTCTTGTCTGTCCATCCACTACTTGACTTCAGCTTCATTAGGTCCAAGGTAACTGACAACTTTGTGTGTTTTGCTTTGCATCCAGCGTACAGAGGCGTCTCGGAATCACTTACCAACCTGCTGAACTTCATTCCATCTCTCTCATTCTGGGCTGGGTCCTCAACGTCACGTAACATGTCTTGCAGCAGATCGTGATCCACATCAACCATTTCACCGTCCAATGGAGAAGGTATAAACATGTCATGCTCATCTTCATCTTCCTGATTATGCGCACCACTTCTGTCTGCTGCTGCTCCACTTCCTGATTCTTGCTCTCCATGCTTCACCCAACATGTATAGCCCTCCATGAATCCTCGTTGTATCAGATGACCGTGTACGTCCTCTCCTCTATCAAACATATTCTCATTCTTGCAATCTGCACATGGACAACACATGTAATCACTGTTTCTTCTTATCCGATCCTCCTCCGCGGCGTTCATAAAATTTATTACGCCCTTTCTGTACTCCATATAATGACGTTTCAAATTTTTGGCATACATCCAACTTTGATCAATTGCTACAAAATAAAAAAAACAAATTAGAGGCACATATTATAATATCAGTATTGCAAAAGTAAGACGTGATGAAATTGCTCAATTAATGATTAATATTACTCACTTGATTGATCCATTTTGATCACCTACAGGAATTTAATTTCTGTTTTCCTTGGAAAAAGGACAAAAAATCGCCCCCTACAGCCTCCCACCAAAATAGTGAACAGTGGGATACAGTTACACTAGGTGGTGGGGGGTATTTATACTGTGCAACAAATATCTGTAACGACCCTAAAACAATCAACCGTGACGGGCATACAAGTAATCTCTATCGAGCCTTAATAAAAGGCCGTCATAAAAGAGTGTCATCTGTGACGGGCACTAAACTTATCTCAATCGGGCCTCTAGTTGGAGCCCGTCACAGATGACCCTCATCTGTGACGGGCTTCTTTTAGGGCCCGATTGAGATATGGAACCCTCATCTCAATCGGGCCTAAACTATAGCCGTCACAGATTAGTGTCATCCGTGACGGGCTTTAGTTTTATGCCGATATACTATGGCTGTGCGACCATATCTCAATCGGGCGAAACTTCGGTCCGATTGAGATTACTTCCTTGTGACGGCCCGCAAATTCCAGTCTTGTTATGGGCCGTCACAGATGGAAGGATCTGTACTAGTGTACTTCCTCCGTTTCACAATGTAAGTCATTCTAGCATTTTGTACATACATATTGATGTATATATGTCTAGATTCATTAACATCAATATGAATGTGGGAAATGCTAGAATGACTTACATTGTGAAACGGAGGTAGTACATGGATAAAACCATCTTAAAAACAAGTGGTTATCCCGCACGTTGCAGTAGAAAAATTTAGAAATACTTGTATCTAACATGAGAGAAATCTAATGCTTATAATTTATCTAGGCGATATGTATGGTTTTAATAGATATTTAGATTTATAGTAATAACTACATCTACACTAAGTGGGATTTAAATGCACATGACACATGAATGGTTGATATCAAAGCATGCGAAAGATCCAAAGGCTATTTGGGGGATTCTGGGATCCTTTGTAACCTACATGCTTGTAAAAACACTATCTCTTTTCTTTTGAAATGAAATTAGCAGAGCTTCTGCCCTTTACTCTAAAAAAAAGGGGTTATATGCATGTCAAACTTTTGGTTCCAACTATATATGATATATAAATATAAATACTATCTCCATAATGTAGGCTACTCTATAATATTTTTTAGATTCAGCACCTAACTTTTATCGTGTTAGTCCTTATATTATTTTTGTTAGCAAATTAATTAAAACTTTACAATCTAAACCCTATATCAACAAAAAAAAAAGTCTATATATGTGCCCTCAACCTACTGGTGAACCCACGTGGCCACGTGCCACCCTCTCCTCTATTTCCCCCCCCCTCTCTCTCTTCCATCATGATCCCCTTCTTCCTCCGGTCACTTTTCTGGCTGAATCTTGCTCATGTCCCTTTTCTGGCCACCTCACATCATCGTTGCCAAGGTCGCCGAACAGATCAGGTCGCCGTTGCCACCCCCTCCTTTGTTTTGCCGTCTGTTCCCCTCCTCTCTCTTCTTGTGCACAGCCGCCTCCTCTTCTCGCTCACCACCATCGAATGACTCAAGCGCCGGCGAGGTGGTGATGAGCGTCAACCATGTGCCTTCACCGCCAATCCACCTCCTCCGCCTTGTCGATAGGAGCTGTGTGACCTCGTCTTCCTCACCAAGGTCGCCATCGACGGAAGCTATGCAACCTCATTTCTCCTCGATCTGGTAGTGCTGGACGTTGATCCGACGGGAGAACGGCTAGGAAGGCAGTGTGGTCCGACGACGATCAGATAGGGGGGCCCAGTAGCGAGTAGATCATCCCAACAAGTATCGTGACGAGATGGATCGGAGGCAGCTCCTGCCAGTGAGCTTCGAGGCCGATGATGGTAGCGATGGCGTGGATCCTCCTGGTAAGTTTGTTGTAGATTTGCCTCTCCTCACTCTGGCCATCGCCTATCCCCCTCGCTAGTCATCACCTTTTCCCCTCGACATTCTTTCCCATCGTACGCCTTTCTGTCTCCTCTCGCTTTTACCATGCGTTAAGACAAAGCCACCCTTTCTTCACAGGGATCCGAGCGTCTTCATTGGGGAAGGAAAATTGCGTACGTGGAGGAGAGTCTCCCGCATAGATGGTTAAGTCCAAATGCCATACCGCTATAGTGTGAATGGTCTAACGGTACCACTATTTATGTTACTCTATATCATTTCCGTCCTTTGCTTCGCACGAGGCCACCTTCGATGGTACGATATGGTTTTTTAAAAAAGTTTAATCAAATTTAATAAAAAAATTAGTAATGTCTAAACCACTAAATTAGTTTCACTAAGTTTGGTATTGGATATATTTTTTGATAATATATGTTTGTATTGTGTTACAAATATCACTTCCTCTATCCCACAAAGATTGACGTTGTAAAGATTTGGCAAAATTTTCTATAGGACACCGAAAGATTGCGGCCTTTGCTGTGAGACACCCGAAGATCGTGTATTTGCTCGTGGACAGTGTAAAAAAGTGGTAATTAGTTGCTGGACACTCCTCCCATTATTTTATTATTTCCGGTCAAAATGGAGAGATAAAGAGCTGTGTAAGTACCAAAATGCCCCTAGACACGTACTGTTCTTCCTCTCTCTCCTTTTCTTTTCCCCATTCTTCCTCGCGACCGCGGCTGGCCTAAGCCGGGATGGCTCGACCACGGTGGGGCGGCGGCAGCGGCGCATCGCCGGGGTTCACCACCGACGGCCACCTCCGTCTGCCAGCTCACCCCGTCCCCGCCTCTCCTCCCCGCCGTCCTCGCTTCCTGCAACGGCCGGCGCGGGCCGTTGGGGCGCAGCCGGAGGTGTCGTGCTCCCGCCGTGGCTGCGATCCTGCCCCGCCCTCGCGCCTGGCTATATGCTACATACACGCCCACCGCGCTGCTGGCGGCAGTAGGAGGCGGCGTGCCCGGCGCGACGCACTCCACGACGGCGGCGTGTCTACCCCCACGCTCCCGCTTGGCTATACGCCGCGTACGTGCCCACCGCGCCCCGCGCGGTGCACCCCACGGCGCCAGTGGTGGACCTGCCGGTGTTTCCTGACGACGCGGAGGAGTGTGCCGGTGGGTGAGGCTGAGGCAGCCGACGTGCGCGGTGCTGGAGGGGAGGGCAGCGAGGAGGCTGGAGAGGGAGTGCTCACGGAACGGCGACGACACACGACGGCTCAGCCGTGGCGGAGCTCGGCAGCTCGGCGGTGGCGCAACGAGAAAAAGATGAACCGAGAAAGAGGAAGAAGAAGAATAGAGAAAGAGAGATTGACAAGTGGGACCATGGGCAAACTTATCTTTAACCAAAGTTTCTCTCTTCATTTTGACCGTAAATAATAAAATAATGGGAGGAGTGTCTAGTAGCTAATTACCACTTTTTTTAGTGTCCACGAGCAAATACACGATCTTCGAGTGTCCCACAATAAAGGTCGCAATCTTTCGGTGTCCTGTAGCAAATTTTGCTTAAAGATTTTGATACAAATTAGCCCACAATCATAAATTACCAAATTGCCCTTGATTTATCGTTGTCCTCTGAATGCTTGAGAAAAACAATGAATTGTTTACTTGCACTCAATTCAAATGGGTGGACCAGAATAATTCTTTAGAAGTACTAATGACCTTGAAAAACTAACATGACAAACTTTTTGGGACATCTTATAAATTGCAAAACAACCATCTTTATATGACTGAGAAAGTACTACAATTTATCATAAACTTGATAAAATATAAACAAATTCAATTAAGAAAAAAAATCAAAATGACTAATAATAATATAAGACGAAGGAGTACTCTAGAACGTTTCCGTCGTTGTTTGCTCCGCCACGAGGGCGCGCTACACTCCCGATGTCACGTGCGCTGCCCTCTCGATAGCACGAGACGAGGTCGCGTTGGCGTGATACGATACGATCACATTCACTACACACGAGTTAAAAGAAAAGAAAAAAAAAAAACACCTCCGCCTCTGCCGTCCCGTGCCGCCCCAGCCCAAAGCTGCCCGCGAGGCCGCGTCGTCGTCGTCTCTATCCACATCCCGCGCCACGCCCCAGGACGAGCGGAAAAAAAGATTTCGCCCCCATCCGCCGGGCACTCGCGCCTCGCGAGCCGCGTCCACCTCCGCGCGGGCGCCACGCCACGCCACGCCCACCCAAACAGCTTCGCTCGCCTTCCTCCTCTCGGCCCTCGCCGCGTCCACCCCCCCCCGATCGAGCCGCCCTCCCCCTCCGCCTCCCGCCTCCGCGCGCGTTTAGGAGGGGGTCGGGAGGCCCGAAGCTGGGCCGGCGTCTCCGCCCCGCAGGGTCCGGGAAGGAGAGATAGGGAGAAGGGTCCTCGGCTCCTCGCGCCGCGTGCTTTGGACTGGGTGAGTTGATTGTTCTGGTCTTTTTTTTTTTTGGAGGGGATTTTCCCCTTTTTGTTTTGCTGAATATTTTTCCGCGAGGATGGATTCATTCCTTGTGTGGGGGATGAATTGGAGGAGCTGGCTAAGCTTTGATTTACCTATGCAAGTCTGGAACTCGGTTTCTTTCTTGGGCTGTTTTTCCGAGGGAGCCTCTTGGTCTCCGATTATTCCCTAGATTTTCGGCTTTCATTTCGATTGCTCCGCGATTTTGGAGCCTTTTCCCCATGGCTTTTCGCGGATTATCCTCTCGAGGCCTCGATTCCTGCTATTGGGTCCTGGAACTGGAGACATAGGTGAACAATTGAAGCTTTAATTAATCACCAAATTTCCCTATGTGTTTCAGCGCTTTTCTAAGCTCCGCCATCTTGGACCTAGAAAGATGCCATTGACGCAGTTTTCGTTCTTGTTCATGATTTCTCTCAGTTGCCTCTCTGGTGTTCCCTTCCATCCTCTTTCTTGAGAAAAATCTATGCCATGTTGCTATTAGTAGGTGCTTTATGCTTAGGAGTAGTACAACTTCCCTCCGATCCGAAGGCTCATTCAGGTTCTTGTATGCGCGCTGCATAAGCAAAATCAGAGGGTCCAGCACATCTCGTTTCGTTTTGTAAGCCCTGAATCTGTAGCGTGCTTCGATTTTTTTTCAGTGGTCTGTGCTGTTTCAAGTTTCTCCTTGCACGACTGTACGTTATGTAATTTAGTTATGTGCTTTTCCAAAAAATTTGCTCCACAGAAATAGCCTATGCTTGTGCATTTCTATTATGAGTTTATGACCTTCCAGAGTTGGTGGTGCCTGTATAGTTGTATGGTCTCTAATAACTGATGCTATCATTACCTCTCGCAGGTCCGTAAATAGGCCGGTCGTTGGATAGCTTATCTAGGCTTATCTAATTTGCTGATTACTTGTCGGGCAATTGCAGGAGTAGCTGGTGCTAGAAGTAATTTTTGGAAATGGTTAGTGGGAGGTCAGCAAATGGGGAATTGGATGCATGCTTCAGAAGCCTCATGCTTTCGATCAGCAGCGGGAGGGGGCAGGCTGAAGGTGGTGGTGCAATGCCAACCTTGTCAGGCTGGAAGGACCTTCCTATTGAGCTGCTTCTGCGGATCATGTCGATAATTGGAGATGACCGGATGCTTGTCGTGGCATCCGGTGTTTGCACTGGCTGGCGCGACGCGCTGGGATGGGGGCTTACTAATCTTTCCCTCTCACGGTGAGCAAGGTTTTTATCCTTCAGTGTTGTTCTTTCAATCGATGGTTATTGTCTGATTGGTGTGACTTGTGTGGTGGCGTTAACTTTTCGTGACATAACGTCTATACGCTGTTGGTGTAATGGTGGGAAGATTTGGATTAGCTTTGATCATTGAAAATATTGGATATGGCACTACCACTAGAATATATTCCAAGTGTCTTAGAACACACATTCCTATGCATCATTATTCAACCATGTCGTACTATTAGAAAAGTAGAAAAGCCCATGTGCTTAGAGCGTTAGATTTGGGTCTGTGACTGCTGTAGGTTTTTCTGCAACCCTATGCAGTTTCATGTACGCATCTTATTTTACCACTTATATTGTCTGAAGGCCTGAAAATCCTAAGAACAGACTTTTCTTTTCATTTGAACTGATGTCCAAAGCAAATCCAGCATATATGCTATAGTTAATATAACCCTTAACTATTAAAAAACTAACATGAGATGGCCAGGGCAACATGCTTCACCTACTTGAATGGAGACTAGTCACTATTTCTGCTTAGGGACACTAAGCCACTGACAAGTGCTTTCTATTTGTATTCTCATTCTTAGATTAATTAACATGTCTCTTTGATGATTCCCATCATGGAGTACATGCTACTAGTAGTATTTCAATCTTTGCAAGCATATTTTCAAATGGTATTTTCTTTGCATTTCCAAGTTTTTAGTATCTGTTAGTTGACCTGAAAATTATACCATCTGCAGGTGCCAGCAGAACATGAATAACTTAATGATATCACTTGCTCACAAGTTCACGAAGCTTCAAGTTCTCACTCTTCGCCAGAACATACCTCAGCTTGAAGACAGTGCAGTAGAGGCCGTTTCCAACTACTGTCATGATCTACGTGAGTTAGACCTTAGCAGAAGTTTTAGGCTTAGTGACCGTTCCTTGTATGCATTAGCCCGTGGCTGTCCTCAGCTTACAAAATTAAACATTAGTGGATGTTCCAACTTCAGTGACACTGCCTTGACCTATCTTACTTTCCACTGTAAAAATTTTAAGTGCTTGAATCTATGTGGTTGTGGGAAGGCAGCAACCGACAGAGCTTTGCAGGTACTCCCTGTTAACCCATTATTTTGATAACATGTTTGATGAACTTCCATTGAGTTTCTGTGATCTTGATGCAGGCCATAGCCCGTAATTGCGGCCAGCTGCAATCATTGAACTTAGGTTGGTGTGAGGATGTCACAGATAAGGGAGTGACCAGCTTGGCATCAGGGTGTCCTGATCTCAGGGCTCTGGACTTGTGTGGTTGTGTTCTTATAACAGGTAATTTGCAGTATTTGTATATCTATTTTTTTGTGACCTTTTTCTCTTCATTCATTGACGAAAAGAAATAAGATGTCAGTTTGAGTGCTAGTCATATAGATTACTATAGTATTATATTAGTTTATCAGGCACCTGGCTTCTTTGTACTATTAAAACAAAGTTACTTTTACGAGGGTTGGGACTTCCATAGTTCAATTGTAGCTTCTAGCAATCATGGGCATCCTTTTTTAGATAAGAAAGATTAATTACATCCCCGGTCTCAGCAATTTAATCCTGTTCAATCATATTGCAGATGAGAGTGTGATCGCTCTTGCCACTGGGTGTCCACACCTGCGATCTTTAGGCTTGTACTACTGCCAGAACATCACCGACCGAGCCATGTACTCCCTCGCAAACAGCCGGGTCAAGAGCAAACGCAGGAGGTGGGACAGTGTGAGGAGCAGCAGCTCTAAGGAAGAAGACGGTCTCGCAAACCTGAACATCAGCCAGTGCACGGCCCTGACACCCCCAGCGGTCCAGGCGGTCTGCGACTCCTTCCCGGCCCTCCACACTTGCCCTGGGAGGCACTCCCTGATCATCAGTGGCTGCCTCAGCCTGACGTCTGTCCACTGCGCCTGCGCCCTCCACCCGCACCGTGCTGGAAGAACCATGGTGCCTAGCCACGCATACTGATGGTGTTTTGGGCGCTTGGTCCTGGTGAATGCCCTATTGCCTGGTGGATGATGAGGTGTTCCTTCCTGGCCTAGAGGAAGAAGCTGTGTGAATAAACTCAGAACTCAAATAATGTACAGTAGGACTCTATATCTGTAGGAATGATAACCATGGAGTGGAGAATGGCTGGAGAGTTGCGTCTCCCCTGCCATTCAGGCCACTGACTGCAAACTACTACAAAGATGTGTGTGTGTGTGCTATGTAGCGGACTTCTATTAAGTGGCTTGTCTATTTGTGACTTGTGAGCAGGGGATTCAATGTTTTGCCACTCTCTAGACCGGAGATTTGATGATTTGCTATCCCGAATTCCTAATTCACACTCCCTCCGTTTCAAGTTACAAGTTATTTATTTACTATATTTGTCTATAAACTTTAAGGTCTTGTTTGGATCCTCCGGGCTATTAAATAGCTCTACGGAATCTTGCTATTTAGGAGTATTAAACGTAAGTTACTGATAAAACACATTCCATAACCCTTGGGCTATTTTGCGAGATGAATCTAACGAGATATATTAATCCATGATTTGCTACAACGATGCTACAGTAATCATCCGCTAATCATGGATTAATGTACCTCGTTAGATTCGTCTCGCAAATAGACAAGGGGTTATGGAATGGGTTTTGTCAGTAATCTTCGTTTAATACTCTTAAATAACTCTTAAATAACAAGATTCCAGAGGGCTATTTAATAGCCTGGAGGATCCAAACAAAGCCTTTGTCAAACTTGAAATAGTTTGGCTTTGACCAAAGTCAAAACGTCTTATAACCTAAAAGGGTTGAGACTCGATAGAATCCCACATTTCACTGGCAGTGACACCTTAAAAAGTGGCAAATCATCAAATCAAATCTGGTTAAGGATAACGCCCATAATGCATAATGCAAGTTCCATTTATGCCCACATGAAAATTTGGAGATAAAGAGCGGCCATTCTAGGACATATTCCCTCAAGTCAAATAAATAACTTTTATAAATCCGTAGTTAATATGTTTAAAATTTTGACCATGTCTTTGAATATTTCAATTCAACCTTTTAAAATGGAATGGTTATATTTATCTTAAAATTAGTTTGAAAATATTAACCTTTGCCACATTTTCTTATAGGTTTTATACAAGTAGTTAATAATCTAATTAGTGTGTTCTCGACGATTGGATCACTGTATTTATCTATGACAGAATAAGGTTGTTAAAATCACAATCCTGGATCGGAATTATAATCATATACATAAAAGTCGCAAAATCGTAGATTCTACCTATATAGAATCATAGAATCGGGCATCTTAATTAGAATCGTGAAATTGTAAAATCATATGATCGAATTGAGATTATGACAATCTTAACTAGAGGTAGTACTAACCGAGCCCATCGCTTGGATTGTCTTTCCATACATTCTACGTTGATCAAGTTGAGTGAAAAAACATACATTCCTAAGCAATGGCGATTTGACAGAGCTAAAAAAAAAAGAAGACAATTCGATGATCCAGGAATATTTTCATTGTGAGAATTAATCCAACTACACAACCAAACAACCAATCTACAAACGAAACCAATTAGGAAGATATACCACATTTTCTAGAGAAAATTTACAGTTCTTGAATGGTACCAAGAGGTTTCAAAATTTTTAGTGCAATTTTTTTTTTACCTCCCTAGTATCATATCTCGGTACTACCACATTTTACACTACCATCTAGTACTGTAAAGTTGATTCATTTCCTAAGTATGAAATTTAATGTCTTGTATTTTCATACTTGCTCTGTTCTCAAATAGAAACATAGCTAAGATTCAGATTTTATACATAATATAAGTATTTCTAGGACAATGATTGCAATGCACATCAATGATACAATACATAATATAAGCTTTTTATAATCAGATTTTAACCCTCACAATTGATGGGCTCTAAATTTCCTTGCAGATTTTCATTTGAGGAGCACAGAAGCACATCCCGGATATTAATTGTGCCATTCGACTGATCAGAAGCGACAAATTAGGTCAAAGGGGTCAAGCAGTTAGCTACGACTACGAGATCAGTCCGAAACTCACATATGTGGCGTGAAGCCGGATCGCTGGAACACTAAGACCTATTTGATAGAGTCCTAACTACTAAATTAGAAGTTAAATGTAGAGTGAAGTTGTGTAGCAATCTAAATTTAGCTCCACCTATTTAACCTTTTTAGTTTATTTTGTGAGAGCGTTCTAACCAGCGACGCTAATATTTTAGTTGAACTACAGCTTCAAAAAAGGTAAAGTTAGAGCTGAATATGTGAGAAGACAGACCCAAAGTCGGCGCCGAGACGCCTGAGATAGAAGGAGAAGCCATGGAAATTCGCTGCTTCTTGAATTGAAAATAACGCGACTCTGACCGATACATCGATTTATTTTAACCCTTTATTTTACGGCGCGAGTCTTGGCAGGAACCGGCCGATCGAACTCTTGTCCGACTCATCCATGGTAAACAATTGATCCGCTACATTGGAGTCGGAAAGCTCGAGCTCTCATCGGATGGCCTATTCAGTTAAAGAAGAAGCCAAAATTTAAATTTTCAAACTTAATTTTAACATTGTTGAGATATTTTCAACGTGGTTTCTTTTTTAGCATTGGCTTTTAAGTCACCGAGAATACATATATAAAAATTTTACCTATAAATTTATTTTTATTCTCTAATAAGACGTTTTGGCTTATTACGAAAAAAGGCAAACGATGAGGCTCTCGTGCGGCGCAGCAGTGAAGTTGGCTTGGTGGGCTGGATTCTTGGCCCAATTAACATTTGGAAGCGTTGAGGGGAAGCGGAGCTGTTGCTACCAGCCTTCTCCATCATCTTTACACCCTTATATTTTCGTTTATACTTATTAGCTAAAATTTAAATGTTCAATTTTAAATTTAGAATTGATTTTGGAGTATTTTTATCAAAGTTTGTTTTTCAGCTTTTGCTTAGATCGTTAAGAACACGTATATAAAAATTTTATTTAAAAATTATTTTTCATTTGTAAATATACCGTTTGGCTTATTCTACCGATGGGGACCTTAATCCACAGCCCACGTTCCTCTATTTGTACGAGGCTGTAGGCGCTGTAGCAATAAATTGAAATTGTATTGTTCGTTTCAAGTAACTAACTCCTGCTGAGCTTATCCTAGCTCACTGAAGATATTCTTCAAGTAATAAGAGCCTGCCTGGCAGAGCTAGCTTCAGCTCAACCTCTCATGCTCCTGGAGCTGGAGTCTAGTTAAATAATTTCAGCTCCATCTAAAAGTAGAGTAGAGTGAGTTAGAGTACTTTTACCAAATGAATTAGAGATGTCAAATTGGGTTCATGAATCATGCTGCTTCACAACTTCACAATAGATCAATTCTTAGAGTTAAATTTAGAAGTTAGAGCCGTACCAAATTTAGAAGTCTAACATTTTTTTAGACTTTCAAACTTTAACCATCGATTTTGTTTTAAATAACGTTACAATAGACGATAGTGTTCTTTTAGGCAAACCTGCAAATGTATTTTATTTTTGTAATTAAGCACTTTTAAAAGTTTAATCAGACTCTTGAGCGTCAAATATTTATAACCGGGTAGTATATCGACGAACTTGTTTGCTAATCCATCAGTAGCTGTCAGGGAGTGAGAACGCCCAAGATCGAGCGCGAGATCGAGATGACACGGAGCGCCGCGTCGCGGTCGCATGATCGATCTCGTCGGCAACTCGATCGAGATCGCCTCTAGTCAAATGCTAACTAAACAAATGGAAGACTCGACGTCGATGCGTTCGCGATGTGCTTGGCTAGGGTCAGAGCCCTTGGTTGCAAGGCGACGATCGATGATCCTACGTCGAGCTCGAATTAAAAGCCGAGACAGACAAATCCTAATACGATTTAGTTCTGGCCACTGGATCACCCACCCTTCGAATCAGGGCGCATTTAATCATCTTATTAGGTAATGGTTGATCAATTAGCTGCTGTTCGGTGCCATGAACGAGAGGGAATTATCCAACCTTTGGATTAATTTGTTAGTTTTTGTTTGGTCAAGACTCAAGAGCCTTCTACGATATATACGTTTCCACTGATTCTTGCGTGTCTAGTTGTGGAATTATAGATCAGTTTCTTTCTTTCTTCCAAGTGGAATGAGGAGTAATCGTCAATTAGTACTTTTACTCAGTTGATGATCCATCTTAAAATCGTCGTTGAACTGAAAATCTAAGAACTTGTTAGTTGTTACTGTACTTGCTATAGGTTCGAAGGAGAGCCACAATTCTGAACTGCTCAGATCGTGGATGCAGGAATACCTCAATTTTGCTGTCAGAGAATTAATTAGCAGACGACGTGTGTGTAATCACATCAGTAAATTGACTGCAGCGTCATATTCCCTCCATCCAAAAAAAAAAGACAAAACCTGAGTTTCCGTGTCCAACTTTAACTGTCTGTCTTATATGGAATCTTTTTATAATTTATATTTTCATTGTTGTTAGATGATAAAACATGATTAATATTTTATGCGTGACTTGTCTTTTTAATTTTTTTTCATAACTAGGAAGGTAGCCCGCGCAAATGCGCGGGCATGCATTGTACACTAAGTTTGAGACACTAAAAGCGATATATTAACCGGAGAACATCTACCCTGATTTCTCCGTAAATTGTTTTTGTTAGCATTAGTTGCTTTCACAATTTTTAACCTATTAGCTTTATATTATATCATATTTAAGTAATATCTATACGCAGCTATTTATAATCTTCTTCGTCATTTGAAAAGAATTAGGTAGACTTATTTTCTTTAGAAAATATCTCAACGAAAGTAAAAGTAAGTGTAAAGCAAAAGTAGTGTGTTTTTTTTTATTGCATATATATATTATCATGGTTTATTAGAGGATGAATTTGGTGGGACATAAAGCTCCACTAAATTTTATATAGCCTAATATGATTGATATAGTTTGAGAGACAATCTATCTATAAACATTTCATGTAGAGTGGGTAAGAGGTTCTACGCAATCTAACGTGAATATAATTGCATAATAATATTTTTGAAATGTGCTGTACCATGAATACACGTTTGTTTTTCTTATATAAGATAGATCTAACGATTAAAAATAATGGTTTCACTGGTTTAAAAGGCATAGGAGTATTCAAAAAATGCAGCTTAAAAATTATGGTTGTTTTAATATCCAACATTATTTTGAATTGAACATAGCTTAATTGGTTATGTTCCTTTGGTGGAAATTACCCACTCGTGTAATTTTTTTAGTGGTCCACCGAATTAAATGAAAATCGAAGGTGGGATGTTTTTCTTTTTTCTCAAAATTTGTAAGGTTTTCTCTAATTTATTAGAGTGCCACACGGTAACT